GGAGTGCAGTTAGTTACAGTGTGGGCTCCATGCTTACTGCGACAGCTTGTCGGCCCATCAAGTGAAAGGTCAATTGTGCACCATCAAGTTATGTCCATTTAAAGTGTTTGTTTTTGCCACTGACAGGCTCAGATTGTCGTGAGAAGTGTCTGACAACATTACAGAAAAGGACCTTACAGAGAAATTAAAAGTTTTTCCTCAAGTCAAGTTCTGAAATCTCACAGACTTTACCACATTGTCGAAATCAGCTAAATATTCAGCCGTGACATTGAAAAGCTTTCAGATAACACTAAGCTATGCTTTCTGGACTCCTCTCTCCAACTCTCACTAACGTTTCCACCATTGTTGTTCCCGCAACAATTCACCTCTTGCAAGATTTGGGAATGAGACTTCTGCTTGAGCGAGACTTGGTCATGCTAACAAACAGACCAGCCAACGATAAGGAAAAAGGTTTCTGTTCTCTGAGGGGTCCGTTCTGTACAAATGTCAGACACTTGTAATAAAAACCTGAGCCTGTCAGCGGCAAAAACAAGCATTATGAATGGACATAAAATGATGGTGCACAATTGCCCATAGGGATTACATTGCAGCCTGTTTCGCCTCTGTGGCTGCAGCGGTCTCTCACAAAACTGGACCAATTTCAAAGATTGTTGTCTCTATTAGTCACCTATATGAAATCATGGGAAAATAGGGTGCTGGCTGAAAAATACCAAAACTGCCCTTTAAGACTCGGGGACCTTTCCTGTTGTGGTTAAAATAATAAATGTGGTTAAAAACAACAAAACTAACAAAAACTAAGTCCAGTTGCATTCAATTCAATTGCCTTGAGACATGTGGTTAAAGTTACAGATGATTGTGGTCATGGTTATAAGAAACTAACGCTGACTGTTGGTGGGAAACAGGAAACTAAATCCGATGTTTTGTTGGCTCAGACTTTGTCGGTCTATAATAACGTCCTCCTTCGCTCACAGCAGTCAGAACTTCTGAGGAAGCTGGAGAACTTGAGCATGTGTCATTTTGGGGCACTTGCTGAAAGGACCGATTCTGTCGTGTTCCCCGAGAGGCCAGTCTCAAAAGACTCTTCCCTGACTGTCCACATCTAAGTCAGAGCACTTCCATAACCTAAAACTGTCACTCTGCCCTGGCTTGTTAATGTCATCCAAAAAAGAAATAAAAAATCTTCAACAGGGTCGAACAGCCTGGTTTCCACTTCTTTTGGGCGTCTCACTGACTGAGCTGTAAAAACACACTGTGTCTGACTTTCATGGCGAATACATCAAATTCTTTGAAATTCAATGACGTTCCACAAATTCCACGACCTGTTGGGACCCTGCTGCGTGTCATGTCTCTGAATTCACAGCTATTAATCTGCTCTCATATTGATTAGTGCTTAATCCTGCAGATGGTGGCGAATCTACTTGATCCACTTGACTTTTCAAAAGCCTCATTGTGGAGGTCACTCGTGGCTGAGAGGCAGAGCACTCGAGCACTTCTGACTGAGACACATCGCTCTCTGTTTTCGCTCGCCTACAGCTGGCTGGACAAGACTGAGGAGCAGAAAGAAAGGAAAGGGAGAGGGGGGGTGATTATGGAAAGGTCCGAAGGAATAGAGAGGAAGACGAAGACAGAGAGATGTAGTATCTTGACACAGAGAAGGGCAGCGAGAGAGCGGAGAGACAGAAATGACATTAGAGAGAAGCAGATGCCCGAGGATAAGACAAAAAGGAAAGCAGGGTTGGAGAGATGGGGGAACAAAGGAGGGGGATGGGAGTATAAAGTCAGATTTGGATGTCTGCCATAAACTGTTTCCTGATTTTTAATTGTTACACTGTGGCTTAGCTTAATGTAATTGACTGAGCTTGTCATCAGACGACAAAGAGGAGGGAAAACGTTCAAAATCCCAACGATATAAAGTTGTTCCTCTCTGGTGAACAAAATTTATTCAGATGCCAAATTCAGGGCGCTAAAAATAAGCACTAAAAAAGATCTACAAATCCCTAAAACCCAAAACAAAACAGTATCCCGTGCACGTAGGTAGGGCATGAAATGAGGGCAGGAGAAAGAGGGAGAGGAGGAAAGTGCACGCAAACAGAGGTACCATGGGACATTTCAGCTGCGACTTTCAAAATGCCACTTCAGCAAATGGCAGCTGGCAGAGTGCACAGTTCGCTGCCTGGCTGCCCTGGATTAGCCTCTGGGTCAGACTGTTAGTGGAATTACAGCAGCTAAATACAATTAAGGCCTATCAACATTTGGACTAAAAGGTCACGCTGCCGGGGCAACACAGACGCATTATAGATTTGGCTCAGTGTGACAGTTGCGTTTAATAAGTAGATTTTTCCATTTCTAAAGCTTCCATTGGCGAGCGAAAAATAAACACTTTACCCTGCGTGAACCTGCGCCTGTCTCTCCCTGTCACATCTCGCCACCGCTCAGCCGAGTGTGCATGTATGTGTGTGTGT